AATGATTTGGTTATAAACAATCGGACCCACCAATTGAAGGGCGATGGTATTGCTGGTGTTGGCTAGCGGCGCTGTAATAATTATCATTACCACTGCGAGTCTTTTTTCTGACACGCGTTCGTTTGACGTCCCAACTACATCATATAGTACTTGCGGGCAATGCAATACATGTACTAGTATGCCTCAATTGATCAAGGCTACATAACCACACATAATATTTCTTTGCTTTTAGGATACATAGATAGTAGAGTATCTTTATTCGCCCTATGTAGTATTATATGTGTATACAGTGTAACTATAGGTATCTCAAGTATGTATATAATATCGAGTCTTTCACACTAATGTGGTAAATATTGTGGGGGTCCATCGAATCGGACATCTGCGGCTTTACTTTGTTCGGAAAAGTAATTTTTTGGCGTTTCCGGACTGGACTGGGTCTGCATACCACCAAAATATGGTTGTTATGCACGAGTAGATGCACTCCAGTTGGGACTGCCTATCCACTACATGTAGTCAATCGACTGATTATTTGCTTTTTTTCGCCATTCTCGATTTAATCGAAGATTAGCTAGGGTTTGAGTATTTTAGACAAAGCTCATGCACTCTATTGCCAGCCAGAGTAGAGTATTGATTGCACAAGGCTCCTAGGGCCTAAATTTGTTAAAGTCCTACGACTACAAAAACTCGATAAATTGGCTATTTCTAGTTATATTAAGAATCATGTTACCTCTTTAATTATCGATTGAAGGATATATCGATGTACATAACTGTGCTTTTGGCGGTATATAGTACGTAGTAATATGTAGATATTATGCTCTAAGAGAAAGTACTTGAATCAAGATATTGGCCAGCCCCTCTAGTGTTGAATATCGAACGAATGAACCGAAATCGTGTGTATACTAGTCTCCCATGAAAAAACTAACCAAAGAGTATGTACATATCCCCGGCATTCTGCGTCCATCATATATCTTCCCTGACTTTCTGATATAATTCAAGACACATGCATCTCTCAGGAGAGCGTCCAACAAACGAAGCTACATGTAGGTACTTATGTACTCGCGACAGGTAACAAGAACCTGAACATAAAAACGCGCTAGCAGGGGTCAAAGTGGTTGCTACCAGAAAAACGATGTTCAGGTTCTTGTTGCCTGCCGCGAGTACAGTAAAGTCTGCACGGGACGGGATAGTTAGTGTTTAGTCGGGCCGGCTAGCTACGTACGTACAAAGAAAGGGCAAGAACCGGAATATATGGAGCGTAATCTACAACCCCAATATGACCGCAAAAATTCGAAGCCTATATATTCGTACCCAGTTTCAGATCTGCCACTATTATTGCTATACCGCTAAAGCTCGAAAAATTGGCTGTCTCCGTCCAGCTTTGATCTCACGAGAGCTAACCAATTTATCGAGTTTTGGCGGTATATCACTAACAGAGTAATTCTAGAAGTCGTGCTAGCTAGGCCTCCGGGCGGTAACACCAGGGCGACCCTTCGTCCGGCTAGTTCCACAGATGTACGTACATAATACATACTTGTACATGTACATGTATTTTATATAGGATGCGCATTAGTCTCGTACCCAGCCCGTTACTTGCAGCAAACTGCCACAGTACAGTCTGGTGCTACCGCTAAATCTCGAGTTATTCGGGGGGTTGCCAAGGCCACCTGCTAAACTAGATTTAGTTTAGATCCTGTAAAAGAGGGCTGTTTTCTTGAAGATCGCTTCCTCTAAAGGTGAAGATCCTCAGCTTTTTGCCTTGGCAACCCCCCGAATAACTCGAGATTTAGCGGTATATCTTCCCGACAAATGTCGGCCGACACTCTTGTCGGCCTCTGAAATGTGATATCGGGCTCTGAATTGTGATGTAGGCGCCCGACTTGTGATATAAAGGCCGACAATGTGATATAAAGGCCGACAATGTGATATGAGAGCCGACAATATGACATGGAAGGCCGACTTGTGATATAAAAGCCCGAAATGTGATATCCGGGTCAGAGTAAACCTTAATTTTGATGTCGGAAGCTAAAAAAGGTTTATTTTTTGTATGTAAATGAGTCCGACAGCCACCTCGACAGCCACCCCGACAGCCGACACTCCATACAAAAAGAACTCACCCAAGTCGGGAAGATATAGCACCAGCCCGTCCTCTGGAAGCATGGAAGTACAGTTGCAACTCGATATGCCGGATTGCCAAGATTCTAAGGATTTCGTACGGGATAGCAAAAAATCCGGGATAGCAAATTGATTTTGCAGTAGGAAAAATAATATTCTCAGAGGATCTCGTACGGGACAGCAAGGGATCCGGTGTATTGAGTTCCGGCATATCGAGTTGCGACTGTAGACGGGTTGGGGACGAGCCTAGATGCGCATAGGCCGCTTGATCTGCAGCCCCACGTGTGCCCGGACTAGCTAGAAATGCTAGATTGTGTGTCATGTCAACAGTGAGCACTCGCTATCTTAACATTTATCACATCTCCCTACCATAAGTACTACTAACAGGCCTGCAAAGATCTTTCTTTAGGAGCAATAGGCGAAGGGATATCGGTACTCCCTCGTATATGATTTGCGTCAACCCAGGACTCCGTGTTATTCCACTGGAAGAAACAACTCGCTTCACGGCGTAACCCACTGAACCTAGCATTAATTTGAATGACTCACGCCGTAGTTTTTTCTGCATCCATCAGAAGAGAATGGTCTCTTCTGATGGATAAGACGGTATCGTACTTCCATCTACCCAGATTACTAACCAAACGATTGGTACTCGGGGCAGGTAAAAAGTACCGGACAATGCAAGTTTTGTCTCTGGGCTTTTTTTTGCAGTAGTTCACGCCTAGCACGCGCACCCATTGATGAACCAAAAACCTGCATTGTCCGGTACTTTTTACCTGCCCCGAGTACCCTCCGGGTTTCTTGATAAAAGCTGCAAGATCTAATTGACAACAGAATAAGGCACGAGTATGGCATATACATGCAGTACAACCGGCCTTAGAGATTAGAATTAATTTATCCAAATCTTTTATTCCAGCTGTCAGTGAGTGATATGGATTACAACTGAACCTGGGCCCTGGAATTACTCGACTGGTCAAGTTGGTATCATTAATAGACTACATATGTATCCGAAAAATGAACTTTATTGGTATCTATTACTCCACCTACACTTTCTACCCTTAGCTCGTGTTCTAATTGTCTCATGATTTAACTACATGTAGTGACAACAATATTTATGTTTCATATGCACACCTCTATGCGTATGTCTTATATATATGTACGCATGTACTGGCACCCCGGATCCTGCATCGGGATCTTAGGCCAATTATATGGGTATATACCGATTCCTATTGCAGCCGTGCGCAGTTTCCGCCTGGCAACCCGATTCTATATAATCTATTGTACTTCCTACTAATGTTCTCTAAAAACAACGCACTATTTTTGTCTCGACTTCGTCGACTAAAAATATTTCTTTTCTTCCGGATTGGAAAACACGATTACCTTTATCCAAACCGCCGAAAATACATTGAATTCCCCTCCATGCGCAGTAATTATGGCAATGTGAGTGTAAAAATCCGTATCTTCAAGAGTACTGGCATATGGGCGTCGACTCAATTTATCATACTAACTGATTGATTAAGTAGCCAGGAGCTTTCCAATGTATCTGATAAGGTTTTGCCTAGAAGGCTGTCTCCCTATATACATGGTTAGCTAGATTCTTATGGTCGTATAGCGTTCGAAGCAGACATCAGTATCGACTCCAAGCCAAGCAATACATCCGATTACCGTCCGTATCCTTCAAATTCCTAGGTTTATCATGAAAGTTTTCTTCCAGATCTATGTTGAAAGCTCGTATCCTGCGATTCTCGTGGCATGGACACTTCTATTAATGGCCAGAACTGTTTCTGCTATACCCGGCGAAGGGCAGAACGTCAACGAAACGACTGACTCTGCTTCAAGACTGAACGATCCATATCATATCGGAGTGCATGGAGTCGGGGTCCCTGTGGAATGCCGGCGTAGAATCAACATGTTTTTGGACGTGAGTTCGCAGTACGACCAAATCGGGATGTCCGTGTCAACAACTCTCATGGCTTTGGTTCCGACTCTGTTGAGCTTTGCCCCATTGCCAATGGCCGAAATAAGATCTTTACTCTATTTTAACACGGAGTTAGCGTTACTTACTGCTGCAATGACATTGGGTTTATATAACAAAGGCACGAGCACAATGAAAAAAAGAAACTCCCTAACAGTGAAGGACTTGGTCACACCATATACAGACATAGGAACCTTTGATAGACCGTCTGCAGACGTCACAGACGCACAAGGTAATATCCTCTATCTCTAATGGAAACTTTATCTCCCAAGACTATACTATGTATGTCTAATGGTTTAAATTAGGTTCAGAGGACAATGTCTCACTGGCATCAGAGAATAAACGGCCCAGGGACTTTTACCCTAAGGAGATTCCAGTACCGGATCCTAAACAACCCCTAACAGATGAGAACTCAGCTGCAGATTGGAAAGAAGGCAATATCACACTTGAAAAGATTCAATTAATGGTCATAAAAGGCCATGCCGCCAGGCCCAGGCGTATAAAAATTGCTGTCATGATATTCTTTTTTTGTCTTCTGCAAATCACCTTATTCGGGATACTTGTTCGTGGTTTACCAATGATTGACGATATTCAATTTATCTGGGCATGTCCTTTGCAGAGTTCGAGTTATTTTACATGGTGGCTTGGAGGTACGGCTGTGGGAGCGGGCTTAATTCGAACTTCATATTCATCTTCGATCTCCGTCGGAAGCGAAGCCTTTCAACTAAGTCCACTGCTTAATGATCAAAACGAAATACTTGATCCGAAAGGGTGTGAGAGATGTTCTATCGATAGCCAAGAACCTCCTCAGATAGGCTGGCCCGTAATGCTCTTTTTCAGAGATCTTTTTAACTTTCTTAAGTAATATATCCCCTAGTCAAATCATGAGGATCTAAAACTGATATAAATATGGTAGATGGATTTTTTGTCTAGCGGATTTTCCAATAACCATCTGTTCAGCCATCCAGCGCCTAGGGATTGTCTTGCGTAGTCTAGGTAACAACCACTCAATGGTTGTAGTAGTTCGATATCCGATAGATTCTGAAATGTTCTTCCGGAACCATCCACTATCCACTATATTCTTTGGCTACACACAAGCTGTAACTCTGATTTTTCTCACATTCCTCTTTGGAAGTTCATGGAACGGAACGCTGTTCTATACAATTGCATTTGTCTTTGGGTTCTTATCGGTAATAACGGGGTCAAGAGCATTGAGTTTGTTGCTTTGCCGGTGGATGGAAATCAATCTCGATATGGTTGTTATTGAGTGTGAGGATGAAAAGGAAAAATTGGAGATCAGAAAGATTCTTCTTTCAATGCCTGGGGTATTGATAGAAAGTACAACAGGGAGCTACAAGTACGCGGGCGGGTATAGATTCGATACTGATACCGATAAGGGCCGCATGCACGCTCATATACTTCCCGAACTAGCCGCAGACCCAAACTCTCAGCCCCGACCGCGGGCCCATCAGTGGAGAGCAATTGGCATCGGCTTTGGTATCTTAGGGGGGACGATCGTTTGGGTCCTAGCAACAACGATATTTTATATCGCCTCGGTGCCCGCGAATGAACCCTTCTTTCCAGGAGTTGCACATGTCCAATCGGACTCAAGAAACATGAGTACTTATTTTCTTCCCTCTATTTCTGTGGCAGTGACACTAGGCTTTGCGCTGGGCTTTACCTTCGGCGTGAAAGTAAGATCTGAATTTGGGTTGTTGGTTATTGGGGAAGACATACCGGCATTAGATTTAGCGTCGAACTCTGCGTCTGTGTAGTGCAGCTCATGATGATTACACATACTCTACATGATTGTTCGGATTGGACACTGTCGATGGCCACGTGGTTAACGATGCATCATAACTAGGACTATCTGTCAATATATATGGGATATACAATGCGCAACAGGATGCAATCTTTCCCTCTCTTATGTTTTGCGGCATTTATCAGGTCTCAATGAGAAGGAGTTAAAGGCAAATGTCTTTTTTGTTTTCATGCCATTTTCTTTCTACAATTTTAAAGATCTACTTCATTTTATTTCACAAAATTACGAGTTTACGGATCTTCCGATGATTTCTTTCCAATTTTCCAATTTCTACCTATATTTAACTCTTTTTTTAGAGTCTATTTGTCAGCAAGAGTCTGGGGGATAGCTTTCTTTGCTTTCATTCATATCCAATGGGTTTGGGTCATATAATATCACTCGGTCATTGAAAGCTAAATATCGGCCCGATATCTTTAACTTAGAACGCAAAATATATTTCTCGACGTGCATGTTCAGGTACCCCTACCTTCGGGAAGAGCATCTGGTAGTGCGGGGCGGTATTTTTGTGTGCTTGCCTGTAGTAGGTATGCCGCTCATTCTTTAATTCGGTAGCATCTACTATAGGTAGCCAACGCAGGGTAACAGAAAAAGGGATATACGTAAGTAGTGAGGAAGCGTCATAATTATATATATTTGTCTCCCATCACATAAGCGACTTAATATTAATTCCGCACAAACAACCAGCCAGTCCCTAACTAGGAGTACTCACAGTAAAAGCCAAGCTCATAGGGAAGGGTTATTTGGCCCAATATCTCTCTAAATGCTATTTCAAAAGGCCAGAAAAATGAAACAAGGAAACATAAAAGGAAATGATTAGTCAGCTACCACACCAAAATTATACCGAGTGATATATTGTGACACGGGTATCAACCTAGGTCTCCGGCCTCCGCGAGCTGGACTTCTTGGCTCTAAAACATAGACTATACGTCTACAAGTTAGTATCATAGCTCTGACAGGATAAGAGTAAAGAAGGCACTTACAACTCGGCCCTCGAGTACTTCCTCAACTGACTTAAGATACTCTTCATGCCCGCCAGCTCGCCCTGAAGCCCCTGCCTCGCTTCAGCATCACTACCGCGGTCCAGCTCCAAGTAGATCTTCTGCTGCCAGTCCTTGGCGCGCGCAGTGTTAAACTGGCTTAGTGTTTGGTTGACGAACTCGACATCGAGCGTTGCCTGCAGGAGCTCGCCGAGGTTGAATCTTTTCCGCTGTTTAAATGCTTCTAGCAGCTCCTTGGACAACTGCTCTAGGAGGTGGGACAGAATTGGTTGCGTGAGAGAGGGCGCTGTAGTGGTTACTTGCGAGTGAACGTGCACAAGAGTGAGAAGGGCGTCATAGATGTAGGGGCGTACTTCAGTGGCGATGGAGCCGCGAGGTGGTGACCAACTAGGAGTTAGGATGCCGGTAGTCACGATGTTTGTTAGGTTTGCGATGATGGGCTTGGTGTATTCGTCGAAGAGCTGGGTATCGATTTGGCCAAGTGCATCGCGGATTGTCTAAGCGAATTAGTTTGGAGAGTTTAGTTAGAAGTGAGTTGAGAAGGAGGATGATTACCTTGGATTCATCCGTGAGCTTTACAGAGAATGCCTGCTCGAACATTGATATTAATTCCGGTACGATATCTGCTCTCAGTAGCTGCAGATTCGACAACGTCAACAACATGCGCACGTTCTTATCACTGCTATCTACACTATGCGCCATCAGATTCGCCGGGCTGATACTTGTGACCGGGCTCGCCAGCCCGCCCTCATCGTCAACCTCTGTCGGCACTTCCTCACCATCTACTAGAGGCTTCTTTGCATTCTCCACCATCCCTTGCAAGCTCTTATAAAGCGACCTGACAAACTGCCCCCTAACATGGGTGAGAAGTTTTGTACTCGGTGGAGGAATCACCGCGCTATTTGAGTTCTTGACCTTGTCAAGATACACCATTCCTTGCATCCCACCAATGATCTCCCTCTCCCACGCCGAAAACAATCCCGGCATCTTCGTGACATCACGGTTATCTACCGCCCTCGTCCAGTCCTCAAGGACACGGCAATTCTGCGCATCTTTGAGCCACGAGCTACACACAGCTACCACGGCGCGCTCACGGCCGCCTGCTACCATGACCTTGAGCTTATCAGCGATACCATCTTTACCAAGCTTTCCGGCCATGTCGGCCATTGCAATAGCTGCATTGCCGACTAGCACCATGATCTTGCCCATGAAATGGACACCACTGAGGGAGTTGGCGCCTGGCGGGAAGAACGCGTATCCCTCTTCGCCCTCCTTCTTCTGGGGCGCGGCTGCCTTGAGGATCTGTGGAAGCTGGGGGGTCGGGGGTGCTTCATCGGAGGTACTGCTGACGGGAGTGGGTGGGACAGGGGAGTACATTGTTGATACGTCATCAACAGGGGGTTCTTGGAAGAAGGCAATGACACAGTCACGGATGAGGGCTACAATCTCAACAGTGCCTTCGCGGAGCATCCGGATATTAAGGTCTTCAAGGCGGTGGTGCTTGCGTGATTGATCATCGATCCCGACGGGGAGAAGAGTGTCGCCATCAATGAACGATTGAGCGGTTTTCCAGAAGGAGAGGAGCTCGCCGAGCATACCGGTTGTGGGGTCAAGAAGTGCTGTTAGGGAGCTGTGAATAAGCTCCCAGAGAGAGATTGTGCGTGAGGTATCGAGTTGTTTTTGGGAGTCTGGTTGAATGCGTCGTGTAGGAGAGCGGAGATGGTGTGCGATTGCCTTGGAGGAGGGCGGGGGTGCGGAGGCTACCTTTCGGCGGAGGACTAGGGGTATAAGGTGAGTGATTGTTCATGAAGATAGGGTGAGCGGTAGACAAACCTTCAATCTCCACACGTGATCTCTCAAATACTGTGGTGATCCTGTTCTTTAGGTATTCATATCGACTTAATAGCCACACCCAGATTGGATTATCCTCTACTCCCAGCTCAAGCAAGATGCCAATAAGTTCCATATGCAAATTGTCTTCTGTCCTACACTCTGCCAGCCTCTTCCACGTATCCCTCTTGAAATCATCAATCGCAAATGTGATCTCAATCCACATTTTCTCTGCAATGATCAATTGATGGATATGCTCCTCCTTGAAATTTACTGCCAGGGACCCAGGTTCTGTTGGCACAAGTGCCCTCGCATCCATCAATGCTTTCCGTGCCTTTTGGTACTCGTCAATCAGGCTCTCGTAATCCTTTCTTTTGATACAATCATTTAAAAGCCCTGGAATCTCCAGGATATCGCGATGGCGCTCCACCACACTCAGTAACGTGCGGAGCTCCTCTTCTCGCCCACGTCCCTTCATAACGGGGCCAAAGACATCATCGGCCTTCGCCTCAGCCTCATTAAGGTAGCTTCTAATTTTTCCCACCCCGTACTCGCTCTCCTTGTCTTTGTCCAGAAAGCTATTCGCCTTCATCTCCTTATACACTCCCTCAATGGTTCCCTTCGCTGCCACAAACCGATCGAAATTACTTTCGACCAGCAGTTTGAGACTCCCGGACTTCTGTGCAATAGATCCCGACAAAAGATTCAACCCTCGCTGCAGCTCCGACGAGGGTGTCGTCGCGTGCACATCTCTCAGAAACGCCGTTGGACTGAAGGTCTTACTGCTAATGAGGTAGCGGTTACGCAGCCGTGTGTTCTCCTCTACAGGAAGTCCCCTATCACGCAGGAGCCGCACCACGCTCGAGGTACTACCAAGTGGATCTGGCTCATCTTCTGGTACGAAGCCGCTGTCTGTATCGGGACGGGTGAAGGAGGCGGAGATGCCCTCTTCTTGGAGGATACTGTAGCGGGTTGTGGAGGCGCGGAATTGCTTGCGTTGGGCGATTTGAAGGTCTTCAATGGGGTCAGACCAGGCCTCAGGGAAGGCACTGTCGAGACGATAGTGCTTGAGGAGTAGGGCTTCGGAGCGATGGTCGGTCATCGTGAGCTGGGGGGTGGGGGTGCACTGGAGCTATCGGGAGAGCTTGTTGCTGTGGTGGTTGGGTTGGAGCTCTTAGTGGAGTTAGTTACCCTGCCACGCACCTAGGTAGTCTCGCTCGAGGAATTCGCCGTAAATATTCAAGGTTCAGATACATAACCTCCGGCGTCAGCATATCTGGATTTACGCAATTGAATGAGAAACACGTCACCAAAAATTTTCACAGCTACACCAGACTGCAGCTGTGCAGGTCAAGAATCTACCTTGTCCCGAAAATAATCGACTGGATGAATTTAATCAGCTGGTGGTTCATCTGGCTTAAAAATAGGTGTGGACAAGTCCCGCGCTCGTCTTGTCTTTTATTTTATGGACCAAGTCTTGAAACTAGTCATCGTGCATGTCAAGTCTCGTCAAAGTTTCGGGGCTTCGTGATCGATACCTTGGCGCGGCTATCCATAATTACAGACTTATCCCAGTCAATTGGGTTTTGATTAGAACAGAAAGTCGGGTTGGACAGAAAGTCTAGTTGTTTTAGGAAGAGACTTGCAATCGCGCGCTCAACCAATAAATTATGCAGGACTTTTTGTCGAAGTGCCCGACTTTCTGTTCAACCTGTGCAGCTAAAGGATCTATTGCGACAGGTTAACCGGTACCGTCGACCCTAATTGGAACATAATGGTGGAATTAGGTGGTGGAAAATAGCCTATAAGGTCTGGAAACCTGAGGCTTTCAACCTAAGTCTAGCCTTGTCTTTTTGTCCCGGGTCCTGACCTCGTATCGATCATGCACTGCATAAGGGTCCTTCCGGATCCTACGGGCATGCATGGTCGTATATGGGAACAATATATCTGATAGATCAACCTTCCGCGCAGTCAAACCCTTATTCCGAGGCAGAAATACAAAACCAACCAACTCAAACGCCGCCTGACCTTCGAGACCGCAATGAGGGCTTGGATTTTCGACCCTTTACTCCGTCGATCGCAGACCCCAGAGAGTGGTTGCGAATATCGAATCTTGCGGCTTAGG